GAAATTATCAGTAGGGTCCAACCAGACGGTTCAGCAGGTAAAAAGCACTTGCCTAACATGCCTGATGACCTGAGCTTGATCTCCAGAACCCATAGTGGAAGGAGAAAGTCAACTCCTGGAAGTTGTCCTCTGACCTCCACATGCACCCCACAGCACATGCACTCCCGCACTCATATAGACACATCACACGCACTGTGGCACATGTATGCCTGCACTGATATATACATATATACACACGCACAGAGACACACAGACACAGACACAGACGCGCGCGTGCGCACACACACACACACACACACACACAAGCAGCAAGAATCAGCAGTGGCTACTAAATGCAGTAGGCCAACATATGATGATAAGTGGCCTCCATTTCCCCCTAAATTCCTATAACAAAATGGAAACCTCCAATGTGATGGTATTTGCAGATATACTTCAGCCATACAGGTTCCTCCTCTCTTTTTTTTTTTTTTTTTTTTGGTCTTTTTGAGACAAGGTCTCCCTGTAGCCCCAGCTGTCCTGGAATTCACTATGTGGACCAGGCTGGCCTTGAACTCACAGAGATCCGTCTGCCTCTGCCTCCTGAGTGCTGGGATTAAAGGCGTGCACCACCATGCCCGGCTAGGTTCCTTCTCTTATAAAAGATGCCCATGGAAACTTGATCACCCCACATGTGAGGACCCATAGAAGACCCAGTCTGTGAGGAACAGGCCTGTACCAGTTGCTGAGTCTGCTAGCACTTTGATCTTGAATTTCCTAGGTACCAGAACTGTGAAAAATAAATGTCTGTTATTTACCAGCCACTCAGTTTATGGTTATTTTTATTATTGCAGCCTAAAGGGACTAAGAGAAATAGAATATTTGCTTAGTCAAGTAGTTCCCCATCAGATGCTTAACAGTTACAGAGGGAAAATAGAAACTTTACAGTGGAGAACCAAGTAGGCACACCCTAAGCCAACTGAACAAAGTTGACATCATCATAGAAGATTTGTGATTCAGACACCAAGAAAGGCATATTGTTTCTGTAGTGTTCTTGACTAAAATTTTTTGCTTTAAGCTAACCATAAAAAAAAATCAGACTAACCCAAAATGAGAGTCATTTTATGAAATATTCACCAGTATCAAGGTTCAGTCACACAAAGATCCGGGGGTATGGGGCTAAAGAGATGGCCCAG